GTTTTTATATATTTTTTCTTTTAACAGGGCGCAATTCTAGTCTTAACTGAGCAGCCCCAGTTAAGCATTCTATTAATTTATCTACGTATCTCCTTCTCCTGACCTTTTCATATCATTTTTAAACTTTTACTGCGCATTATTATAGGGGGCGTTGTTTTTCAGTTTTTAGTGTTTTCTTTTCCTCCGCTTTTGAAGTTGATTCTTGACCTGTGACTGTGAGTTTTTAATTTTCTGATGATTTTTATTGATTTTCTTTTCGTAATTTGTTTATTCTTTTGAATGTATCTTGTTTTTCCTGGACCTCTATACAAAACCATAGGGGTACTGAGGGAGATATTTTAAGCTTTTGCTTCTCCCTCAAATAGAAATGGTTTTGTTTTTAATGGCTACCGGGGCCGGTACCCCCTGAAGACGTCGGCTTCGGTGGTCGTATTTTTGTTTTATTTCATTTGTTTTGTATTAATATTTTCTTAATTGCTATGATTTGTAAAAGTTTTTACATGAACGTAGATGAAACAACAGAATAATAACAAAAACGTGAGCGTTTAAATCAGACGCAATAATTTATGGAAATTATGACTCAGACGAATTATCAAGAAACAAATATTTTTGAAATTAAATTGTTTATTTACAAATTATAAGAATTATTTAGTTCAAAACTTATACAAATACAAAAACTCGGAGGAATGAAATGGATAAGAAAATATTTTTTATATCGACATTAATTATAGTTTTGAACTTCTTGAAGTAATATTTTACTACATTTTAATAATTTATTTTTGTTTCATACACTTTTCAGGAGGCACAATATTAAAAACATACTTTCTCTGGTATATCTTGTAGTAATTGAGTTTGATGAAGCAGAGTGTTTAACAGGAAGTTTTGATGGCAGAGAAACACAAGTGACTAAAAGCCTCTTTAAATGGAGTTGAACAAAATTTGATATCATAGGCATTAAAACAGTAAAAATTGAAAGCAATTACAAATCAAGTTAAAAAAAAAAAGTCGACATCATTAACATTCTATACCTTTATTAGAAAAATGGTAGAAAAAAACAGCATGAAAATGTTAAGCAATTTCGATATGAAATTTTTTTTTATTTTGCAATTTTTTATTATTATTATTTTTTTTTTTAAATAAACGTTTTTTGCATACCTCCTTCCCAATTTTTCCTACATGCAGCAAAAATTTCACTCGATTCGTAAAAATGTTTTTCAATTGATGATAATTTTTGTAAGAACATTGTTTATTATAAAAGCTTGTTAATAGTTAAGTTTCTCAATAGAATTTTTTCAAGAATTTTTCAATATTATCTTAATAGTTTTTTTTTGCTATAGATTAAAAAGACTACGAATGTTCCATCAAATACTCATCTACTAAAACTATTTTCAATAGGGTTCATCTGAAAGGAAATTATTTTAAAACTACTTGAGTAAACATAAAGCAGCTGAAAATACATTAAGCTGTTAAAAGGGAACATGTTCAGAGTTTCTTTTTAAATAATGCAGCCACAATAAGGTAATTTTTCCCCCGACTATTTGTTGACTCTGTCTACCGGGACACATTCGTCAACAAATAGGCGATTGCCTTGCAACACAAAATTTGTATAGCAAAAAATCAAAAACAAAACCTTGCACAAGATGAAGCAAAAGCAAAAAACAGATAAATGTACCGAGAAATACAATTCTGAAGGTTTAATTTTGCAATTTTTGCAAGATTATGTAAGCTTGACACCTAATGTACATAGCAATTAGGTGTGACTGACTAAATGAATAATGGAACTTCGAGATAGATAACAATAGCAGGAAAATGCCTTTAAATATTTAACATTTCATATGCTAGCTATATAATATAAACAGAATTTTCGTATTACTTTAGCGTGTATGCTTAAGAGTCTCTAAAATTTAAAACTTTAATTATTCATAATTTCTTCTAAAATCATCAAAACTAACAAACAAACAAAAGACACTTATACCCTGATCTGGGGTTACATAAGACAGCGGGGTAACTATAACCATTTTGCTGAAAAATTGTGAACATTCAAGTCATCAGTTCCATGTTTTATGGAAGTTTTTGATCACGTGTTAACATTTTATAACTACTCACCATACTCGTAATTTTAAGTTGAGTTTCATATAAAAATCTTTAAAACTGATTTCAAACGATACTTTTATGGCTAGGATAAAATAAGGATAATTTTATTTTCCTTCGGAAATGCTCTAAATTGAAAGAAACTATTTATGTGCTCCTGATAGTAAATGGTAAGGTGGATATAAATATTGATGTCACTGTAGCTACTGTAGCCTGATGTCACAATCAATAGATTAAGCATTACTATTTTATTTGAGCTTATTTATTGAACCTAGATAACTACATTTTATGAAGTACTTAGTGTAAATTAATTAAACTTAAAAATGTCAAAAAATAAAAGAAATTTTTCTCACTTTTATTTTTAACAATAATTGTTTTGAGCAGTAATGTACATTTATTTTACCAGTTTGCTACGGCACTATCATCAATGAATGCAAGCGGAATATCCCATTCTTACAGCTGATTTCAGTTACCCCATACTGAGAGGTAACTTTAGTCTCCATGTTTTTATAGTTGTTGTCTTTGACATACATGTTTTAGAAACAGTAATAACATAAATAGTTACTGTTTGCAACAATCAACTAACCTCTAAAGTAAATGCCTTTGAATTAGCAGGTATCTTAAATTTAAAAGAGGCGTTACCCCTTTTTTTGACGTTATACGCAGAATCGGTTTTTCTTTTAAATATTGATTGTATTGTAAAAAGACTCTTCTATGATATTAAACAAGATATATTTTTCCATCAAAAATGACCCTTTTCCTCTAAAACGACATAGAGGTGGATTGATTTTAGTTTCATTTTATAGATTTTTTTAAATAGTAAGTTCATGGTTTTTGTATCAAAATTGTAATTCTCGGGTCATGTAACATTTTTTTCCGAATCTAATATACAGAGGAACTTTATTTTCATGATTTTCGAATGCAAAGTCATTAAGCACCTTTGATATTAAAAAAACAAAAACATTTAAAACACTATATGAATAGTGTCGCTTAGTCTGTACAATACAAGCTCTATATTTTATGTCTCATGGCAGGATGCAATGCTAAGATTGAAACTGTTGATTTCATTTCAGTTTGCTAGTGTTCAACCATGGTCTAAATATTGGCAGTGTTGATGGGTAGCTTGTTCCTTTTCGACGTTGTAAGGTGCCGTCGCTGTTTCTTATAGGATAGGTGGCTATCATTATTGGCAACTGTAATTTTAATAACCTGTCGACTCCTTTTGGCTCCAGAATGAACTATGAAGAAAGTACATATTCAGATTATATTAATAAGCTTAGTTCAATAATAAAATTAATATAAAATAAAATTATAAGTAATAGATTATTTAGTTTAATTATGAAAACATTGAGGCATTCAGATTCTCAACAGACCTTGAATTTAGAGTTATATGCATGACAGAGGACTAAGATTCGTTCATTTTCACAGCTGCTAATTTTGAAAGCGGAATCTGAGAGATCTGGCCCATCCCAATTCATTTTATGCGTTAGAAAATGAAATATAGATAGTAGGTGTGAATTGTCATACAAATTTCTCAAAATCATGGTTGATTGGAATCTGCCATTTTCAGTAAAACCCTTGAAACAGTTGTTTTTTGTTTACTTTTTTCATAGAAAACTTTAAAAAAAGTCCCCTAACGTTATTTTGTAATTAACACATAACAGTTAAGTAATCGTGGGCAACAACTGCTTTTACTTTTCATTTTACATGAGTAAGTATTTCGTATTCTATCTATCTATATATATAATAAAATAAAGAACTTGTGCGTCTGTATAACGGTTCACGAGTGTATCATGAGCTCTAAAAATACATTCAACATCAAACTGAATGAATACAATTGTAAACTAATTACGAAGCTTGATTTTTGATATTTTTGGTAGGTAAGTAGGTATGTTAAGTCGTTCCAGAGCTGCACAATGAGCTATAGACGACGGTCTGGGAAATATCACAGAGGATGATTTGATTTTAGAATTATATTTTTAATACTAATTGTATGTGCTGTAATGCTTAATTATTTTTTATTTTTTATGCTAGGTTATCTGCATAATCAACGTGATCGTAGTAGCATAGGCAGAATACGTCACCAAATCATAATTTCTAAGGTTATCTGAAAAGTGCTTATTTTGTTTATAGTTATGCTTTTAAAACGTGTTACTATAAAATTAAATAATTTAAAAGCAACGATAATTGAAATACAAAAAAGTTTTGTACTGAAAAGCAAAATTAATGGAGAAATGGAATAACCGTTGAGTATAAACATTAAAAACACCATTATTACTATTGACGCCATCAGCGATAATTACTTTTAGTAATAGTTACTAATTGAAGTAAAATAATAAACTATGTTCAAAAAAGCAGAATTAATTGAGAAATGAACCGTCATTCGCGTATGAGAGCGTGAAAAATTGGCAATTATTAAAGACACGCAATGATGCTTTATTTTGATAATAGTGCTTCATAGTAATTGGTGCAGTTTTAATAAGCACCAAATGTACTTTTATATAGGTACAAAGTATTTTTTGCGTAAATTTGATACCGATGGTAGATATTTTATAGCTCTTCGAAGATGCTTTGTTTTGGTAAGAGTGTTTCATGGTAATTTAATTGATACTAAATATGTTCTTATATAGATACAAAGAATCTTAAGAGTAAATTTGGTGCTGATAACAGCTCCACCAATACTGTAGATATTTATGATAGATTTTTCTTTTGACATATAAGTACAGGAGAAAGTAGCTTTGTTTTTGTAAATATTAAATATCATTGAATTGCCTTGAGCCTCGAGCAACATCATTATACCAGATGACACTGAATGCAGTTAATCCATATTTTGATGAGATGTACTACTTAATTTAATGACGTAATGCCAATAAGAAGGGCAACAAGGGCATTATAAAGATTTATAAAAAGATAAGAAAAAGAATAACTAAATATAATAATTAAATTTTTTTTTAATTATTATTAAAAGAATTAAGAAGTCGAAAACAAAATAATGAAAAGATATAATTTCGTCATCAGCTAACACGATTATTTTCACAAAAAGGAATGCTTTTTAATATTGCATTCATGTAGTTACAGCAAAACATATCAAACTTATTATTTTTGTTAACTTCTTTCGTTTTTTCTTTCTTTTCTTTTAGTCTTATATATTATAAAAACATGAAATTATTTAAAATTTTCTATTTCGCTACTTTATCTAGTTTTAAATTCCTTTATTCATTTTTTCGTCTATCCTCTTAGTATAATATGTAAGATTAATTTTCTTAATGGAAAATTCTTAATAACTGTATTTACTTTTTATATATATGGCTTTCATACAAAAACATTTATCATCTTTAAATACCTGAAAGCCATCGATTATTTATAACCGTCTGGTTATCTCTATCATGAAAATACTGATGCTTTACTTATTTAAGTTAAAAACAGGAAATTTGTATTGCAAAAATATTTTTTTAATGTTCTTTCTTTCTGTTTATGTAAACTTGCTATGAATGTTACTTACATATACATCGTATTGTATTTTGATGAGATGGCATCCTCTTAGATTGGTTGGGGGAAGAGGCGGAATATAAAGCATTTCATTTTTCCAGTGGTCAGTTGTACCAGGATCGATTTTTCCTTTTTGAAGGGAAGCCAGCTCCCTCGTTTCTGATTGAACAATTTTACTTTTAGCAGTATATTGGATAGTCTGAAAGGAAAAATATATAAATTCAAAAATTGATCCCAAAAACAAACATAAGGCACAATTGAGTTAATCGAAAAACAATTTTTTTTTTCAAATTTCGTTAGATATTTCTATTTATAAAGAAATTTTTATGAAAAAAAATTTAGAAAGAGATGTTTAAAATGATTAATTAAATCTTTTTTCTGATTAATGATAATTTTTACTGAATCTTTATAGTGTGAAAGATGGTTTAAAAATATTTCGCATTGAGGAAAGTTTAGTTTTTTTTTGCTTAATTAATTTATTGGTAAAATGTAGAAAAATATCTCAAACATTGGTTAGAAAGCATGTGAGCAGTGCACTGATGTTAAGAAATTTTAGCTTTTGAATCGAAACTTACATGTTGTAAACCTACACCTAAGGCAATTTGCTTTTTTATCGAACTGCAATTGCACACCAAGAATAAAATTCTGGCGTATTGTATGGAACTGACATTTCTGGTAAAAAAATAAGCCAATCATTTGGTAATTTTACCGTTCATATGGTAACGGATTATCGGAAATTCTTGTTTTCATAATAGTTCTTATTACCAGCATTTACTAAAAAATACAAAACTCAAAATTAAGTTTAACCAAATAAATGGTTTTTATACCAGGTTCCAAACCTATCATGATAAAATTACTAAATTTTACCACATTTACCATCTGAATTATCATACATTATAAAACCACATTTTATTATTAATTTTACCAAACTCATTAATTAAGATCTTCGGTAAAAATTACTGAGCTGTTAAGTGTTACCATAGAGCCAGGAACATTGTAAATTTTACCATATTCTGGTATTTGAGACCATTCTTTTATCTTAGTGTAGATTTAAGTTAGCTGTAGATTACTCTCAAATACCTAATTCTACAAGATATAACTCATTTATATGCAATGAGATGAGTATAATAGAAAAACTGAAATACGCTTGGAAAACCAGTAAGTATTCAGGGAATATGCCTAAATGCAAATTTAATTGAGTTGAAACACATTTTAACACACATAACTTCCATACACATTAAAAACCGTATTAGATGCTAATAAAAGGATGAAGTAGTTTTTGTAATATTAGATATCCACCAACCATAGCTTAACGTTGTTACAAAAGAACCGAAGACGTTAATATCTATATACTGCTTAAAAATACAATTTTATTATGTATTCAATTATGTAAAATTGAATGATGCTATACGTTTAATAAATTTAATAATTTATACATTTTATAATGATAATAATGGCCGGGACAGCCTGGTTGGCAGGGCGTTGGACTAACACTCGTGAGAACGGGAGTTCAAATATAGCAGACCGAAGATTCTTCGTGCAGTAAATTGTGAATGGTGCACGTTAAATCTGCTGGGTCACAAAGTTTTTCATAATCCCATAACAAATTATACCCCTGAGGGTACTGAATTGGAGATTGTTCATTCTCTGGTTCAGGTCAAAATTACGATCTGTGGATTAGTGAATGGAGGTTTGAATGGGCATAAACGGGTGTGATGTATGGGTGTGGCAGAAGTCGAATTCTTGGCCATAGATGGTGACACTGGGAAACAAGAACAATCGCACTCCCTCTGCCTTAATAGACAGCAACAACAACAACAACAACAATGATGATAATAAAAACTGAGAGCAACATTGAATAATGAAATAAAACGAAATTCACTGATAAATTCTTTTTTAAGAAAGAAAAACTTAAATGGTTTATTTCTTAGAAAAATTAGATTTTATGTGTTAAATTCCAAAGCTATTGGCAGAGATCTAAAGATGACTAATTAAACTATATGAACTGTTGCAACAAAAGGGTTTAGTTCTAATTAGAATGCTCACAAGTTTAGTGAAAAGCAACTGCTCAATTTTAACTGTTTACTTATCAGAACTAACTTGCTCATTTTAAATAAAATTTATTGATAAATAAATGTTTATTAACTTGTTTGAAGTTGTTCTGTATGAAAATAAAACTCTAAGCTTCAAAAACTTATATTCTTTCTGCACTGTTTTATTTAAACTTAATGAAATTTAAATATAAACAGATTGTAGTTCTTCGAAAAATGTTTAAAAAAATAAAATTAAAATTAGATTATTTTTTTAATTCCTATTTTGACTAGTAAATATATTAAAGTGACCTTTAATCAATGAACTTTTCAATAAATTCCATAGATATTCAAATGGAGAGAAATCTAATGAGGAGCACGGGACTGAGTTGATGAATGCAGATCTTCTCTTAGAAAGCATAAATGCATTTATTATATAAAAGCTTATTAAATATTTAAATTCTTCTAGGAAACAATAAATTTTTAAGATGTTCATTATTTTAATAAAAATGTTCATTTTTTAAGCTGCCATAAATTATTTTAACTTGAGTTAGTATATTCTAATTTTGGAGAAAATTTTAAAAATGCATCCGAATTTGATATGGCTAAGTTGTTTGATTATAGAATTAACTTTGTGTAACTACATTGTACATTATCATAAATTTCTTTTTCAAAATAGTTACATATATGTAACATAAAAAGCTTCTATTAATCTTTTTATGTTAGTTTCTTTGCTATAAAACAACTCCTACTTTATTACTAATTAATTATTCAAGTCGAACTGCTTTCTCACACTGTTAAAAGTCACTTCCTGTTTCTAAATCTATTTTTAGCCAAAGTATGCATAAATTTAAATAAAAACATTCTTCCCTTTTAAACTACGTGGGAATCACTCGAGCTAGTTCTTAAACCAATAGTAATCCTTGGGACTTCCCTTTTCCCTTCTAATATAACAAAATAGAGGAAAATTCCTTTGCTACTTTCCCTAAGATAAAACCTTAAGCACACAGTTTTGGAGTGCGAATTTGAGCTCCGCCTTTGCTAGAAAATGTCTTAAATATACTATGTGAAGCTAATATAATATTTTTTGCCTTCCAACTGCTATCTGCGTGGCCTAACAACACTCACCATGACTGCTACCCTTTCATATACATGGCTCAGATTTCACAAAGCAGTAGTTTAATGTGGAACCGTTTTGTCATCACAGTCAAACAATTCGATTTTTAAATTTTCAAAAAGTTTTGGTGTCATGAAGTTCATTGTCATGAAGGCAATTCCAGAGTTTCTTTATCGAGTTTAGGCTAGCAGCTTCAAAGCTACTCAAAGCTCTTCAGCCTAGTTGCTTCAAAGTTATAAAAAGGAATGATGTAGGTACAAGCTACCACAAATCACCAGTTGCAAGAAATCTCAAGTTACAACAACAATTAACCCTTCTCCCGGAATCTTGATTTCATATTCCGCATCAAAATCGTGACGGATGTATCGAGGAGCTTTTATGTTCTTTTTCTTCAGTTTTATTAACTAAGTGGCACGAAATGATACCAAAGCTAAAAAAATACTGAGAAACTTATGCAACTCTTTTACTAAAAATGTATCACTTCATTTTAAATTTGTTTGTTCGATTAAAGAATAAACAGTTTCTTGGCATATGATAGCAACTTTATAAACGCACCAAGCAAAGTTCAGAAATTCCCGAAAAAATAGTTTATAATAGAGAAGCACCCCTAGTGGCGTATGATGACATTTCCGGGTATGGGTTCCTATGCAATTTTAATCCTGATGATGTGCTCTAACGCTTCTAGAAGTTTGAAGAAACATTTACGCAACCCCCTGTTATATATATCTTTTTTAAATTTGTACATTTTAGACAAAAATTGTACTTAATGTCATTAAAAAAACTGTTGCCTAGAGAAAGATTTGAAATCAGTGATACAAAAGTATCTAAGATCTGCTTAAAAATCTCATGCAACAGGAAACTAAAAAAAAAAAATGTCCCTCAGTGCAATTTTCGATAAAATCTTTCTTTTTATTTCTCTTATTTTTCATTTCGGCTCTCAGTGAATCACAGGTTACCCACGTATGGTAATTCTGTAAAGCAGATTTAGGTATAAGAACTTAAAGCAAACTTAGCTTATGTTTTTGCATATCACTTTAATTCAATTTTTTTTGTCAGAGTTTTATCAAATTACATTTTTCATAGTGTGATAATAAGAATGGGTTGCAAATCTTCCATGAAAGTTGCATTTTTCATGCAAATTCTAGAAAAGTTATCTGTACAAGATATTTGTTCCGAAAACAGGGTATACGCATCCGGACCAAGTACCCTGCATAGGGTACGTATGTATTTTTAATTTTTTTCTCGAGAACTGCCAGGGGCGATATTGCTTCAGTTCATATGAAAGTATGGACAAGGAATTAATTTTTACAGTGGATTACTAAGAAATTGACAGTGATGGTATAGACATTAGAGAGGCATCACGTTTGATGGCCACACACTTCTCCATATCTCTTGAATCTGATGAGTGTTAGGTTTGATCATGCGTGTGTATTATAATCGTTTTTTTTTAAGTTTATTTACATTAAACTATGTTCACATCAAATCTCATTAAAATCTCTCCTATGGCTCTAGATATAATTAGCTACCTATGAGAATTCTCTAGTTTCGAAAAACAACGTATGATCTCGTTGTCTCGTCATTGATGTCTCGTTGAAGCTCTTAACTCTTTTGTAAAAAAAAGGCCGGTAAATAGCTAGCAAACTCGTGAAAGATTCTTTTACCAAATTATTAAAAAATATGTAAATACAGTCAAGCTTTATTATTCAAGGATATTAAAACCTTGCATACTACAAAAGGGTTGTAAAGGATTAAATCTTAGCATATTTCATTTCTAATAAAAAATTAAACAGATCTTGAGTCATAAATACATACACCGTTATTCAAAACTTCTGAAAAATAATTTTAAGTACGCTATTACGATGCGTTTCGTAACTAACTTAAGCGCAACTTAGCTCAGTTTATTTCCAGTTGAATTACTTATGATGTTTTTATTTTCATGTCTTATGAGAAAATGAGCATTTTTGAGAGGATAGGATAAAGCAGCGAGGGTATAGTTTAATTAATTTTACGTCGATACTAGCATTCCCTCTGTTTTATCTGAACAATAGAAAG